CCTCCTCAGAGTAGTCATCACGGTTGCTCTGCCCCGGGCTTCCTGGAATCAGCTGCTGATCAGTTTCAGCAGCAGCTGACTTGGGGACGCCTGGGATTCTTAAGTTGAATCTGTATGTAAGTCAGAACTGGAATCCAGATTCAGCCGCGGTTGAAACTGATCAGTTTCAGCAGGGCTGACGCCAGTTCCGACTTACATACAGATTCAACTTAAGAACAAACCTACAGTCCCTATCTTGTACATAACCCGGGGACTGCCTGTATGTTACTGGTCCCTGTTAACCACAACTCCCCTTCCCTGCATGCTCTGCATTTAAAACTCAGACTGGCAGGCTGCCTCAGTCCCAGTCTCTGGCTGGAGTTTTAAATGAAGAGCATGCAGGGGAATGGGACTTACATACAGATTCAACTTAAGAACAAACCTACAGTCCCTATCTTGTACATAACCCGGGGACTGCCTGTATGTTACTGGTCCCTGTTAACCACAACTCCCCTTCCCTGCATGCTCTGCATTTAAAACTCAGACTGGCAGGCTGCCTCAGTCCCAGTCTCTGGCTGGAGTTTTAAATGAAGAGCATGCAGGGGAATGGCCAACCACCCTAAGCTGCTTTCTGATGTGGGTTAGCAGCAGCATCCCCTGTCCAGGGTGGGGCCCAAGCACCCTGCAGACAGATCCTGCTCTGTGGGATACTTAAGCAGCCTCTGTTCATGGGACGCTCAGGTCCCCTGAGGACAAGGGCTGGTGCCATCCTGCACTGCTGCCTCTGTATCAGAAGCTACAGCATGGAGGTCTGCCTTGGGAGCCAAATTTTAAAGAGGCAGTAGTGCAGGGTGGCAGGGAGCTCCCCAAGAACGGTGCCAAGAGCGCACTGGCTGCTAGCCCCACGGGGGGCATCGAATAATTGTGCAACTAAGCAGTGGAGCAGTTACACGATTATTAAAAACTGAAGCAATGTTCCACCGCCGTTCACCGGCGGGAACGTGCTCTGTGCAAGTTTGGACAACGTTAGCTGTTGGGCTGAAGCGCTGCTACCAGGCAAGGAATGGCGTTTGTTCCACGCTCCGTTGAGTTCCCGTGCAGCAGCCAAACGCTACTGGCAGGGCTTAGAGACTGAGCGCGCTTGACAGGGGAAACGGGGCAATGGGAAAGCACCTTTACCGCCGCCTTCTAGGCAAGCACACGCAGGGCCCATGTTTTGGCAGGCAA